TCTGTGACAGTCTTTTGAAGTGTGTAAAGCTCCATTTTATCCCATACATAGTCAAAATATTGGGGGGATGATTCAATGGACCATCCCCCCCTTGTCAAATATTGGGGGGATATATCCCCTCCATCCCCCCCGGGATCTACGCCTATGATCAATAGTTTTGGATACCCAATATTATTGTTCAAAGGTTTGTATGGCGAAGTAATAATATATAATGCTTGCTGTACACCACATAGATATTTCTGAAAAGGACTGTTGTTGTTGGTTGAGAATATCTCGACGTTTCGATTGAGTTGCTTCAATCGTCTTCGAGAATAATATCTGCAGAAATTTCAAAAACAACAACAGTCCTTTCAGAACAATTATTAATAGCAAGCATTAATACTCGATATTGTTCGTCACACTTGAATTAATTAGAAGTATGCCGTTGCTAAGACAACGAGCCAAACAGATACATCCTATGTTGAACTATGTTTATATCTTGCAGAATAAACTAGAGATTATGAATTCTTGTAATAATATTAAACGATCATTAAAGTTTGATTGAGTTAAAAAATCAAACCAGATCCAAGTGACAATATGAAGAAAGAACTAAATAAAATTATATATAAGTTTATTTGGCAAAAGGTCCAGAAACGATTAGCTTTCTAAGAACTAATAAAATGGAGGTGTGAAAATGAAAAAAATTAGTGTCTGAGTATAAGAAATGCTTTATTCCATGCGTGGTCACAACTACAGACCTTGATAGCAATTTAAATTGTCCGCTTCGGTCTATCGTATATGGATCCTTGTTACAGTATAAAAAAAAAGGTTGGCAAATATTCCATGTTGAGCTAATAAAAGTTAAAAAATAAATAAAGAACAATATAACAGTAAGGCACTAGAGAAATGGTCCAGTAAAATGATTTTTGATTAACTGATAAGGAATGAAAAAAAAGCCTATATAAACAATTTCTTATGTAGACAGGACACTAAACTTAGATGGTTCCAATATAGAATTTTGAATAATATTTAAAAAAAAAAACCAATAGCTTCCTTTTTGAAATTGGAATTACAGATTTTTGTAATTTAGAACCTGAAACCATAGTTATGCAATTGTCCAATTTGGAAAAAGTTTGAACAGTTATTATTTCAACAATTAGGGCTGTATTTTAAATTTACATATGAAATAATCCTCTTTGGTTTTGAAATCCATCTATCATTAATGTGTTACTTATTTTAATAAAATATTATATTTACACAGCTATAGAATTTATAAAATTTCCTTTAAAACTTGCTGGTGTTTTAAATTTTTTTAAAGAATACCTTCTCTTGGAAAAATATATTTATCATTCAAATTTTAAATTAACCGACTTCAATGATAGATGGAATATATTAACCCCCATTACTTAACTATATCATTAATTACCTACCATATTAAGCATTAGAAACTTTTTCGTCTTCATGGTTTTGTGTGTTGTTTTTAACTGTAAATTTTTGGTATGTTTTGCCTTGAAATTACTGAAATAAAAAAAATAAATAAAAGAAAAAAAAAGTGAAGCGTGTAATATATAATGTATTATATTTGTATTTTACAATTATTGTTATTAATATTAGTATAATAATTAGGCCTATTTACATATAACAATGCTAGAATTATCATTTACAATAGTACTTTAAACTTTCGGCAACACTTTAGTAAGTATCATTATTTGATCTACAAAACTGTTAGTCTTTAACATTTCGTTGCCAGACAGACAGACATACATACTGTACATACAGGGGTGAATACATAACGCCCTTGGTCGAGGCAAGTGGTAACTAGAGCAGTCACTCCACAGAGTGCATACAATGACATCTGTTGTAGACACAAGGAAACGGGTGATTCCATTATTTTCTTTTATGTTCAAAGGGTGAATTTTAAGAATTTTTTTCAAATTTCTCGGAACTTGACCTTGCTTTTTATTCAAACTTTTCACTTCTTCTTTAAATCAGGGGCGGATTCAGAGACGTCTAAATGGGATGGGACCGAAGGTAGGGCCGATTGTGATAACATCATCCTAGGGGTTCTGGGGTCATACCCACGCGAAATTATTGTTTTGTAGACGCCCGAAAATAACCTTTTTTGACGATAATTTTTTTCCTTTTCTTTCTTTCTTTTTTTTTTTTTTGCGATCATAAAATTATCTTTTCCTGTACTCTACTGTAATGTTTTCTATGGTCTACCCAATTTGTGTCACGTGATCAGCTGTAAACAAACATCACCGAATCGGTCTATTGTCTTTTCGAAAAACAGGGACGTCATAAATCACAGCGCGCCAACTAATTACAATTTTCATGTGTAGAGTAGTATTTCTAAAGGCCTAATAAGTCAAGGAAGTCGAATTATTGAAATAATAGGCCTAATAATAACAATAATAATTGTGTGAGTGTAGCTCTAGCAGATCTAATAACAACTCTATGCAATACTGGATTCTTTAAAGTGTTGAATCATTATTTTATGTTCTTTGTTTGGTCCATCAAACAATCATACGCCCTCTATACCCCATGGCAAAGAATCGTGCCCTCATCGTCTGACAAAATCAACCACCCTATTCCGGCATAAATGTTATGCTTAATACTCGATAGTATCCAGGTTGATAGATGAATTATCTTACATTTACACTTTACTTGCTAAACATTTTGGAAAGCAAGAAAAATTTCATTATTCATCGGACGGCTGATATATTTCAATAATGTATTATCAGCAGCAGGTCACAGATGAACCGTAAATTTTCACCTTTATAAATCGGGGCTCCCTCAAATAATTAATAATATATTTATTGTTATGAAAAACAGGTTAGAAATGGAAGGTGTATTGCGACTGGAGGAGGCAGAGGAGGAACAAACAATAGAAAACAAAAATGTTCTCGCTCGACAATTAGGTCTATTTGCATCGATAGCTATCACTGTAGGTACAGTGGTCGGCTCTGGAATATTCATATCACCAAAAGGCATCGTGCTACAAATTGATAGTGTCGGCTTGAGTCTAGTCATCTGGGTAGCATGTGGCATAGTGTCTGTTTTTGGTGCTTTAAGCTACTGCGAACTTGCTACAAGTTGTCCGAAGTCTGGTGGCGACTTCACATATTTGTTGAATACATATGGTCCATTGGTGGCGTTTTTGAACGTGTGGACGTCGCTTCTTGCAACCAGAACGGCCAGCACTGCCGTGTTGGCGATAACGGCCGCGACATATATTTTGCGGCCTTTCTCAAGCGGATGTGAAGAATTACCAGCCCTGGCGGTTCGTCTTTTAGCAGCAGCATTGTTGTGTACGTTAAAGATATCAATTACTCAAAATATAGCATATTAATAGAATAATTAATGATGAATTATGCTAGATATACTGAAAATAATACACAACCATGATATCATAGTAATCAAAATGATAAAACTGTATTGGTAAAATTTTTAATTACTATCATATAGTATTATTATTATTATTATTAGCAGCAGCAGCAGCAGCAGCAGCAGCAGTAGTAGTAGTAGTAGTAATTCTAATTATTTTGCTTCCCAATAGTCATCATTTTTTACCTAAACTGTGTAAGCGTTCGATGGACATCAGGTGCTCAGAAGTTCTTTACGTCCATTAAGGTACTCTGTCTTTGTGTGGGCATAGCAGTAGGCATAGTTCTTCTATGCAAAGGTACGTTTTTACACCAAAATATACTATGTATTGTGTCATCCTGGCTAAAGATATTAGTAAATAAATAATAGGTGAAATATATATATATATATAATCGTAATAAGATCATTAAGCCATGTCAAGACTATCACATTTTATTTGACAAAATAATGTGACATATCTTAATATGGCCATATTGACATCACATCATGACCATATATAGGCACACATGACTATTTATATGGACATACAACAATTTTTTGTTAAAGAAAATTTCATAATCTGGACAGAGCTTCTTTGTTAAGGGTAACCTAGATTAGCATTAGAACGGACACAATGCAGACTAGGACTACTAGGAACAACACGAATACTGAGAAAGGTTTTAGGCATGGACTGAAAACGAAAATTAAAAAAAAAAAAAACTTTATCATCATCAACTATGGGAGGTAATGATAGTGATATTGACAATGATGATGATGGTAATAATACTGATAATCATGATTGTGATAATGATGACGATAATATTGATGATAATGATAATGAAAATAATAATTATGATGATAATGATTATTGTGATTATGGCACAACACACACTCATTAAAATATTTTTTGTTCGAAAAAATGTTTTAGGAAAATACGATAACCTGAAAGAACCATTTAGAAGCGTTGACGTCAATGTTGGAGGATTATCATTAGCATTTTACTCCGGTCTTTATGCGTATTCTGGTTGGTAGGTATTCATTCTTAAATTACTGAATATTTTCTAAATCAAATTCCATTACTTATTTCGTGATTGATGAAAATACCCTTGATTCTTGGCGAGGAACCTCTTCACATGGTCTTCCATCTCCTTCAGTCGCTGCTGATAACGTATTATTTGAATATACAAAGTAAACAATTCATGTTGTATGTTCTTCTCATGTATAGTATCGAAATAAATCAAATTAAACATTAGCTGAACATAGAAAATACATCATTTACTAGGTCAATGTTGATTAAATCATGATTAAATATAGTCCTATAATTCAAGTCATTTCACTTTTTAAATAGGCAGAATCTTCCCCAACTGACGGAAGAAATTGTGCGCCCACGAAGGTAACTAAATAAGTATTATTTCTAATATCAATCTTAGGGAAATTGTTAAATATTGGTTATGATTATATACCGTTTAAATTTTAAAATTGTAATTCTTCTTGAAGGTCATAATAAACATTCTGATTCTGATATTTTTATTGTGATATTTTATTGTATGTGTTTTGCAGATTAACGATTTTAATAGTTTATTTCACTGTCATAATCTTATCTTACCCCAGAAATATTCCACTTTCCATAACGGTTTCTATGGTAACCATCATAATAATTTACTTTTGTGTCAACGTGGCATATTTCATCGTTCTTACACCAAGTGAGATACGAGCGTCCGAGGCTGTGGCGTTGGTAAGTTTGTGCACACGTACGTAGTTTCAACTCTCAAATTAATTGTCTGAACGCCTATATGCAAAAATGAAATAAGGTAGGCCAGATATTCCATCAAAAAATTCACCGAAAATAATGGGTGTTGTTTAGCTTGCCTTCTAATCTCAATGTCCTGGGCCTTCAAACAGCAGGAATTTTTCTCACGATTAAAACAACCATATTCCTCAAGAACCATAATGGTACATGGTTTATAAAAAATCCATCCTGTAATTGGCGAATTACTTGCTGCTGATAGTGAATGAAATAAATATCATTGTGCATTAGATAACCAGAACTATTACGTATATATCAATATATGACTGTCTGTCACTTTGACTATCAGAATTGCGCAAAACCGATCATCATAAAAAAAATGCCCCTCTTAGATTTCATGGAGAATCAGCGGTGACTCCAGAAATTTTCCCACAAGGTGTCCGACATATCCGACAGGGGTCCGACCAAGGGGCCGGAATGAAAAAAATCCCTCTTAGATTTCATGGAGAAAGTTTTTATGACTTAGTGTGATTCAAATTGTGCTTTTAGACCACAATAGTAGAGATTGGCAATCAAAATAACGTTATTTTGATAGGCAAATTATATTTTAAAAATATTTAACCCGCCCGGGGGTGGGGTGGGGGCTGGGATGAGTCGCTACCACTGCTAGGAATACTAGCCATATTATTTAATTAAATAAGAAATAACTTAAATATTCCATATGCTTAAAGTTTTAAATTTGATATAGTGAACTTTTTTTTTTATTAATAACTTTATTTCAAGGATTTTACTGCCAAAATAAACGGCAATGTAAGTTGGATAATTTCTATTTGTGTTGCAATATCATGCATTGGATCCATCAACGGAAGCACGCTAGGAACCTCAAGGTAAGACTGGAAATGTGGGCTTGTAATCTGTCTGTTTTTCTTTTTAAAGTAGCAAAAAAAGTTTGTAGGAAACATTGTTTAACAGTACTGTTATTTTTTATAACGTACGTCATTCAAAGCCCAATTGGAAAATTTCCCACATTAAATTAACTTACGGAAACGTATTTTCAGGTGCACAGTAAAGGAAGATGATGATGATATTTAACACTTCGCAAAACATTGTGGTGATTTAAGATAATGACTATAATAAATGTCATTATGATATGATACTGTAATATACTTTTTATCATTATCGTTCTAGCAAACAATTTACTACATTAGTGACAACGACAACCACATGAAAAATATTAAAATTTCACGTAATTGGAATTTTTGGGGCAATTATGATGTACATTTGGGGCAATTTACACACTTTCCAAAAACAAAAATATGCTCAGTCTTCTTATTACTATCTTGCATTCTGGTAAGTTTGAAAAAAAAATTCGACTTACCAAACTTTGGTTATTGTGATAACTAGCATAAATTACCTGATTAGTGAAATATTAATTATATATGCAAATGAGCAATTAACATATTCATACACGTACCAGAACAATAGGATCCGTCTTCTTATTACATCTTGCATTCTGCCAAGTCTGAAACCAATTGGATTTACCAAATTTTAGTTATCGTGGTAACCAGCCTAAATTGCCCGATTAGCGAAATAGTAATTATGCAAATGAGCACATATTTACACATGTACCAAAAACAACAGGCTCCGTCTTCTTATTACCATCTAGCATTCTGCCAAGTTTGAAACCAATAGGACTTACCAAACTTTAGTTATCGTAACAAACAAATGAACAACAACGACAGCGACTACAGCTACATTGACGAGAACGACAACGACAACATGAAGAAGAACATATAGACAAAAACATTAGCCTCCCCAAAGCTTCGCTACTCTGGGAGCTAATAAGAATAATATTAATAATAATAATAATAATAATAATAATAATAATAATAATAATAATAATAATAATAATAATAATAATAATAATAATAATTATTATTATTATTATTATTATTATTATTATAGTATTTCAGAATATTTATATTCACATTTAATTAATTATATTTTATATTACAGGAGGTATTTTGTAGCATCAAGAGAAGGGTATTTACCTTCATTATTTTCTATGATTCAAATCAGAAACAAGACTCCCGCTCCCGTCGGTATCCTAATGGTTAGTTTATCAGCTAGACCAGTGAATTGATAAATGAATTGTTGGGCAGAAATAATCAGATGAAGTGTACATATTCACGAAAGGGTCCAAGATACCGGACGAGGGGTTCATGATTCATTCACCTCAACCCCACTGTTTGAATATACACTTTTAGATGCCCGGAAATTGCACTCTCAAACTGTAAAAATGCTCTTTTATAGACAAAATAATTGTCTCACACCCCGGCGGGTGTCCAGTGTTCCCCGCCAAGAGGGAGTGCATTGTGTCATCTAATAACTCGAGGCGTCACCGTCTAGGTGCATAAAACCAGGGAACAGTTAATTACATGAAACATAATAAGCTCTGGTCATATCACACTAATGTTTTATTGTAAAAAACATCTGCAATTTATCCATAGAAACCAATGAATTATTATTATTATTATTATTATTATTATTATTATTATTATTATTATTTTTATTATTATTATTATTATTATTATTATTATCATCATCATCATCATCATCATTGTTATTATTATTATTATTATTATTATTATTATTATTTGTGTTAATATACTGTAATCAGTATTTCATATTACTGTTGTTTTTATTATTATTAGGCCATGAATTTAGGCTATAGAGTCATGTTTGCGCACGCACAGTGACACTTAGGAGTCAGGGTGGGTCGGTCGGGTCGGCTTTATTTTCTCATTATAGGCCCAGGCCTCATCTTCATCATCATCATTGTTGTTTTAATTCTTATTATCTTTGTAGTTGTTGATATCAACATTGACGCTATGTGCTGATAACATCTACAGTATCATCTACTATTTGAGCTTTTCAAGATGGTTGTTTCTCGGTCTTGTTGTAAGTACTGTTCCGTATCTACGAATTCGATGCCCAGAGATGGAAAGACCATATAAGGTAAGTAAAAGGTATTTTAATAATATGTTATATCATAATTGAGCCTATAATTATTAATATTATTTAAAACTAGGATTTAAGAGACATAAATAGTATTTTTGTAGTCCGTGGGCGCCAGAGACCACAAACAGCTGGAAAATCACAGGATCAATAAACTGTTCAATTTCGACAACGCCTCTTTGCATTTTTTGCCAAAATTGGGCTATATCTGTAGGTGCCAGAAAACTCAAAACAACCGGTAAATGGCCGGGTCAAGAAAGTCGACCAAAACCGTTTGTTCAACATCATTTTCATTGCATAAATTATTGTGAATGTCATAATTAGGCTTACAATAATTCATTAATTATATATCGTCGTTTTTCTGCTGATTAATACATTATAGTACCCAATGAAAATCCAGATTACCTCTTACCCCCCCCCCCCCCCAAAAAGTTGTAATTTCTATAACAATCGTTTAAATTACGCTTCTGAATACAAAAAGGCCATGTTTTTGGGGATTTGCACCCAACTACTAACACAATCTTTCTCATCAATTGTTATCTTTTTCACTTTTTCACAGGGAAAGAGGGAAAAGCCCCTGAATTTATTAGTGAAACCAGGGAACAGTGAAATTTCGCTGTTCCCTGGTGAGGCGTTACTTTAAAGTATTTTTATATTTTTGCTATACATAATATATATTTTCAGGTTCCTCTTTTTATGCCGATCATTTTCACCTTATTTTCGGTCTTTGTTGTTTCCGTGGCCCTGTACACATCGCCAAAGAATTGTGGTGCTGGTGCATTGATAATGTTATCTGGGGTTCCTGTGTACTTGATTGGTGTTAAATCGCGTTCAAAACCGCCGTTACTGACTCGTGCTGCAGGTAGGTGATATAGCTTATACCCCTTACAAAACTTAACTGTTTAGGAAATATGTAATTTAAAGATATCAACGCTACTGACTGTATTACAATGTAATTAAGGCGAGTTGATTGGCCGAGTGGTTAAGTCAGGGGCACCGTGACCTTTAGCTCTAATATCGGCGTTGGTTCGAACGGCTCACTCGCCAATGGTTCCGGTGGTGGAACAAGTCTTCTCGGATAAGGACTTATCCGTAGGCCCAGTGTACGCATTTGGCTCGTGTGCACTTTAAAGAACCCGGTACATCATTCGAGAAGAGTAGGGGTTACCCCTGTGTACTGGTCCATTAAGTCCCCTTTTGTTAAATGGATATGCCACGTAGGACAGTGATTAAGTTCACTTATTGGCATATCCTTGGCCCTCGTGCCTAAAGAAATGAAATACAACTACGCTTGCAGTTTTTACATTTTGGCCTGATTATTTTACTTTGAATATTTTTTTTTTATTAAAAAACCAAGATAAATGCATCCATCATTCTGTATTTTTCTTCTCGCAGAGAATTGTACACGATTCTTTCAAATGCTACTCCTAGTTGTGGAATCGGACGAACCTGATAAGCATATTTAAAATCAGAACAAACGTAAGATTGCTGCATTACACACGGCGTCAAATTTTTACCTTTTTACTTTGGAAATTTTGTAGTTGTTAATGGTTATGTAGTTTTATCATAGCGAATGTTTCATATGTAAAGCAAACGTATTTTCGAAAATACATAATTCTTATTAGCTGGATTAGAATAGGATTCCTAATGTATGCCTTTGTGTTATGGATCAATAGCAATGTTGTGGCTATTCTTTAAATATATACATACATATATTAACATTTAATACAATTACAGTATTTCAAAGAGGACTTTTGCTTATTCGTAGTTCTTCAGCCACTGAAAATATCTATAATATGACACGCCTTGATTTTGAGCAAGCATTTTAAACGACTACAGAAGTCTCTAAATGTTTTTTGAATTAAATTATATGTATGCATAGCATTGTATAAATCATGAATACAAACAGCAAACAGTTTATTTATATATGAATAATATATGTAAATTATTGTAGATCATACGGAAAAATTAGTTTTAGTTGATTTTGTTTTACAAAATATATTAAAAACTACAACCTTTTTTTGAGTAAGACTATAACTCTATATTTCAGACGTACCAAAGAGTATTATTAAATTAAATTTTACGTTTTCAGGTTGGTCTTTATGTATACATTGTGTCTATAGTTAACATATTTCAATCTTTGTTAAATTCAAAGTCGGAGATACCCATCTGTAGAGACTCTCAGTTAAGCTTATCTTCATAAGGCTTCTACGAATGGATGCAAGAAATCAAATTGTCTTTATCCACTACCGTTCGTTTATTTAATCGGCGAGAAATTTTTCCTATAATATTTATACTCTTTACTCTTACGAAGACGGAAAAATACAGGAATATGATAGGCAAACTTACGAAGGATTTACACGACAATTGTTTAGTATATCAAAGCTAACTAATAACAAATTATTACGTAACAAATAACAATAAATGCTGAACGTTATTTTATGGAATAGTATACAAGGGCATGATCACTAGTTATACTTCTTCCTTGGAACAAGTCCAAGGGAACAAATCAAAGGAAATTGTACTGATCATATAGATCTCTGGCCCAAATAATACACTGTACACTGTATAATAATACACAAATATCCAATTTATTCCAATATAAAGTTTATCTTCTTAGTAAAGTTAAATTATAAGTTGGAATGCATCTAAATACGTTTAAAAGTAGTTTCCTAACTTATATATAAGACCGATATTTTTGGTATACATTAACAAAATTTATACGGATTATTTGTGTATGATGTAACCTTCCAATATTTGACGTTCAATATTTATTAATCGTATTTAATATACACTATACCACCATATCCAATTGTACATAAGATCTGTTTGACATCATTTGCCCAACATTGTTCGTTTTTGTGTGTATTTCTAAATTGAATATCATAACATTGTATTGTATGAACAAGAAACATTTATGTTTAATATGGTTACCTAATGCAAATATTTTGTAATATCGATTAAAATATATAGATTTTAAAAACATTAACAATATTGATTTATACTGAGTAAAATGCTTTTGAATATATTTATTTTACTATGATCAATCATTAGTGAAATAGATCACGTTGATTTATAATACTACTGTTTTATCTATAACAATGACGGCTCATTCTACATGCCTTTGGTGTAGGCCAATCTATAGGCCTACAAATCTAACAGAGAAAGCTTCCAGGAGGGCGATGTCCATTAAGGATGATCTGAAAGAGAAAACAATTACTCTTGTAGTTTTAATTGCGCATTATCATGTAAAAAAATGTTTTTTAGTTAACAAACTCGTAAATGTGCACCTAACAAAAGTTTTAAGACAATTAGCAAGATTGTGATCTGAAATTTGTTAGTATAGTATTTGCTGCCCTCTATAGATTGAGATATACCTAAAATGTATAGGGAGATCAGCAAACGCTACTAGTTACCTAGCTAACTTCAACTGGTTAGCTAAGTTGTATAAACTACTTATGAAGAGGATCGTACAAATGATCAATCTGAGGATTCATAGCGACTCGTAATATTTCCTACATAGGCAACGAATGACCACAATTTATATAACCCATTTCATAATGCAATTCATCTCACAGGAATCTGTTCCAAAAAAACACAACCCATTGTATTTGACGTGGAATTATAGGCCTTAATGTAGTTTCAACAGCACTTAACTAAGTCAAAGGTCAAGACATAAAAGGTCAAGACATATATTATATACTATACGTATGCACTTTCAACATGGTCATATGCAATTGCAACTACGCGAATGTTATTGTTTAAACTGCGCATGGCTAATTCAAAGGTCAGGCATAAAGACATAATATAAAATACTATAAGCATACACTTTCAACTTAGTTGAAACAATTGCAAGCTATGCGAATGGTTATTGAAACTGCTCATGAATAAGTTAGATGTCTAGGTATATAAACTAACAAACATTTGCAATATATAATTAAAATTACAGAAGTTTTCTTCATTGTGCATGACTGAAGCATATTATACATCTTTATGTACTGTTGAAATTATGAGATGGCTTATTTGCACAGTAACCTTTACGGTTCTATAGACTTTATCATCACATATGTATAGAATGAAATAACATCAATTGTAGCTGTACTTACATACGTACTTCGGCTGGACCCGTTCAGCAGGGTCGGGTTTCTAGGATGTAAATACAATACAATAAGATTCAATAAATAATACTGGATTGTAAGTCTTAAAACCATTGAACTTAAGTAATTGTTTCATTCTAATTATACCAATTTTAATGAGCCAAATTCGTGGTTCGAACTGCGCATGCCCGTATCAATGGTCAATCGAGGTCAATGGACATAACCATGTTGTGTGTGTATGCTTGTTGACCTTGATATGGGCAAGCGCGGTTCGAACTACTAATTGACTTATTTGCCTAGCCCATATTTCAAGAAACTGAACACGGTTCGAAATTGTAAAACACGGGTCACTTAAACATTAGTGGATTAACTTTCCTACCCCAGGATGCATTATTCATTAGGTATATTTTGTGTTACCATTAATCAAGTTCATTCTTTTCCGTTGTAGGCCAATCGTATTTACTTATATATTCTATACTTTTAGCGAATATTGGCTCAAAAATAGGCTCACGATAGAATTTTCCTCAATAACAACACTGGATAGAAATTGTAGTAGGGCCTATTTTATAATAAATAGTATGTTAAAATCAATATACATAATATAAAACCAACCTGATTTACAAGATTACTTACAATATCTATCTTTTGTATTTCCGTCAGTTCTATGTCGGGATCCAGCCAACACAAAATTGCATTCACCTGTTATCAAACCAAATTCTTGTATAAAAATCATGAAATTGTAATAATCGAATGAATCTAATCAATGTAATCAATAAAAAGAATGCATTAAATAAAAAAATATATATATATATTTTACCTCCTTGTTAAGAAATCCTTGGATGCAAAAAATTGCAACGCCCTGGAAACAGATTAAAAAATAGTTATTAAACTTACCAACCACAGTATACTACGACTCACGATTATAAATACACTCAAACCAATATAACACTTACAAAAGACGTAAAAAGTGGGCTTATTCCTTTATCATTTAGATATGCCGTATGGGTTGAGGTAATAAAAAGTATCCATATTTAAATTATTTACTTAGTATGCATAAATCTGAGTTATCATTTTTACTTGCGAATTTAGAAAGAGAAAATATTTTTCTTGACATTTGACGGACTGAAGTATAAAGATAATAAATATATACGCAATATCCCTATATTTTGTATGTCCATGAAGTTTGTAACAAATTTTCAAATAATTCGTAGTAAAAGCAAAGATACTAGAAGCACAAGATAGAATTCTCCACAGATAAAAACTGTATTATCGGATTGCTTGGTAGTCATACTGTACTAACGTAAGTTTGTTTATCTCCCGCCGTTCTCGGCGCCACATTTCATGGCGGGAGATAACAAACTTAAGTAAATTGTCATTATTGGAAAGAGAAGGGCGCCGAGTGCGGGAGACGCCTTAAAGATATGAAGTATGTTCCACTTCACTTTTTCTACTTTGTGTTTCTTGTATCTTTAAAAGCGTTGAAAATTACCAAAAATGTTATCATTTCGATCAGTGTCTCACTTAAGTGAACTTCAATATAACTGATTATTTAAGAGTTCTCCCCATATTTTACAACAATATTCATTCATTAATAATAGGAGCCAACATTGTTTTTTTTTCATTTCATAAATATTGTCAAAATGGCGCTTTCTGCAGTTTAAATCATACTTAACAACTGATACAACACCGTGTTGTCCTGTCACTTGGCCTAGGTTTTTTAGCCTAAAATGAAACACAAGTCTGATTTATTAGCTTTAAATATTCCATATTATTGTGTGTGGTATTAGGTCATACAATAGTTGTTCTATTACATGAAAATAAAAGGGGTCAATAATTTTTTTTTTAAATGATTGCTCATTATTCTACTATTTCGTCGCGGCTAACCAAGCACAACCAAAACAAAACAGGGTAAAAAATAAAGCGGACCAACACGATTTAAGTTCATAACGTTTAAGTTCTTTTCTAACGTTTACACCTAAGAGTTTACTGGGCGCGAAGAGCAAAATAACATACTAATTTTTGTGGCTGTAAACTCAATTGCACACACAACGAATGAAAAAATATTATATAATATGAGATGAGATATTTATCTATCATTTGGTTAAAAACAAATTTGAACAACGCTAAAAAATACAGGTTATAACTACTAAATAGATACCTTACCGATTTTGGCTTATGTGGACTACATTTGGCAGGTAGTTTTAAAGCCGAAATCGGTCCGGACCGATTTCGGCCCGGACCAAATTTTTGACTTTACCAAAAATATTCAAGAGACGAGGCTTAGCAAAATGGTTTATTCTAGATGCTTAACTAACCAGGAAGCTGATCAATACGGAAAAAATGTAGTCTGCCCATATTTTGTCGTCACCATAGAGACCGATATTCCCAAACGCCCACGTCACACAACAATAAATGGTTAGAAAAAAGGCTCCTTTTGTACCAGATCTGTAAAAAAAAACAAGTGTAAGAAACAAGAGAGCAAAGTTAGCATTCAAATAGATTACCAAACTAGTTCACGATGTAAATTGTGTTTAAAATTACTGCACAGCAACAAAAACAGCAGCCACTTTATCCACTTCATCGCAGTAAATAAAATAGCAAAACCACTGAACATTTGAAAAATCTAATGTTTTGAATTTTCATAGAAAAAAATGGTAATTACACAAAAATTCTAGATGAAATGTTCTCACAAAATGTGAACTTTTAAATATATGGAAACTGAAATTCATTGATCAAAAGTTATCAAATTACTCAGTGTACCTCTCCTCGACCCGTCGGACAGGCCAGGAACCCGCCGTCGTTCGACGCCATGACGAGGTCGTCAGATAAAAAATAATAATTTGCCTAGCCAAATAACGTTATTTTGATTGCCATATATCTATAATATTATGGTCTAAAAGCAAAATTTGGACTTGACTAAGCCATAAACTCTCCCCGTGGGACCAGGTATTTATTTTTATTCGATTTCGGACTAGGACCGAGGCTCTAGTTGGCCCCTTGCTTCAGACTCCCGTCGGATATGTCGGATCCCTTGTCGGCAAATTTCTGGAACCACCGCTGATTGGCAGATGCATTCAGGATTTATTTCCATAAACTTTTTGTACTTCGAATACGGACAAAATAGTAGAGTCATTTTCATGAGATCCGTGACTAATTTTAGGATACCTTTGTTTCTCGATGGATTTGGCAAGATGGACCAATTTAGATAAAATATAGCTCCTATATACCTCCCAGATATTGGGGGAAAGTCCCGTTTGGGGGTGTTTTTCAAAATGGCCGCCTGTTGATTTGGACGCTTGTATCTCGATAACCGCTGGTCAGAGAGACTTGATTTTGGTCTCAAATTGTTCACAATATGCATGTTCCTATTTGTTGTAATACAACTTGTTATCAAAAAATGGCGGGAAATGCGGTTTTTGAAAGTTTGACCTTTGACCTTGTAATGTCATATCTCAGTAACTACTGGTCATAGAGACTCACAATTGATTGCAAATTGTTCAGAAGATTCATGTTTATATTCGTCCTTAATGAAAACAATATTCAAATAGTGACCGGAAACGGTACATTCTGACCTTTGACCTATTGTAGGGTCATTCCATGTCAAATCAACCAGATTAAAAAGAAATTCCTGTATGACCGTCTCAGATTTTGATGAAACTTAAAAAATGATCCACTGTATGAAAAACCAACAAAAAAAAAATTAGCCTCATAGGATATGTAGTTTTCGAGATATTGACTCCTCAAAAATATGGGGCGTGGTTCTTCAAGATGTGCAAACGCAATTTACCTCAACTTTGGATTGGAAGCTTATAACTCGAGATTGGTAATAGCTATCAGAGTCAAACTTGGTATTCTAACATAGTTGTCGCCATATTTCACAAATATCGCCTTAGATTAACAGTTATCCCTTCCCTTTAGAAGTTATCTGCACTCAAATTAGCCGATTTGTTTAACGATGCAAATTTTTTTTGTGATTTTCAAGGTCACCTTGCTTCCATTTGAATGGGTATATACCCCTCATATTACAGGTGTATTATCTAAGTGTAGTTGTCTCTAGCCACGTGCAAGCGCAGGCTGATCAAATTAATTAAAATTGAATGGCATATATTCAAAGTTGGGACCAGATCTATAAAAGTGAAAAATGCCTATGTTTCTCAACAACAGATCGTCTTGTGGAAAGTTAAAATCTTTTCTTAAATTTACCCCAGTTAATTTAGATCTACCTATAAACCAAATTTCAGGTTTGGTACTCAGCTCCTTCATGGTTAGATACTATGTTGAAAACTACACAGTAACATAATCGGAAATCACGAAAGTTTTTAAGAGTTGAGTCATTCTATGACAACTCAACAAATGCATTACACCAGGGTCATAGATTTCTAAATTTTGTTTGGGACACTGTCTCAGTGATATAGATATCTATGTGAACTGAAAACCTGAAATTTTGAGACTTGCCAATTCATTTGTTTTCCTGTAGCGGCAGTTTGAGGTTAAGGGGGCGTGGCCTCTCAACAAATGCATTACAACATTACAGGTCATAGATTTTTAATTTTTTGCACCCTCCGGCCTTGTAAATAGAAAAACCTGAAGTTTTGAGACTCAAATTCCCTTTACGTTTTCCCGTAGCGGCAATTCGACGTAAAGGGGGTGTGCTTCAAATTAACTTTGATTTTCGTATGCTAATATCATCATACAACCCCTTTAACCTTTTGTGGTGTAGGACACCTTTTACTGCTGATTCCAAATCCTTAAAAACATGTTTTTAACATATTATCAACAATAATACCCTACTTTTATATAAATATTTTGCTTTAATTTTCTAAATCTATGTCATATAGACCCACTAAATTTTCTATGAATTTCAGATTTATTTACCTAAAGTTATTTCTGGTTTACTTCTTAATGTGCAACTTCAACCTGGGTAATAATAACCTCATCAAATTTGTATTGTGGGTAACGGCCAGTAAGTCATTGCACATGGCAATTGGGACATTACATACATCCTTTTTTGTGGCCAATATATGGTAAATTATTTCCTGGAAACTTTCTATTCTGTTTCATGAATATATTCATGTTCGATTCATGAATAGAATCTTCCTAGAATTCGTATTATATTCTTATTTCTTTGGGCCACACCCCCTTAACTTCAAAATACCGCTACAGGAAAGTGAACGAATTGGAGAGTCTAAAAATTTCAGGTTTTCAGTTCACATATATATCTATATCACTGAGTCAGTGTGGCAAAAAATTTTTAAAAAAATCTATGACCCATGGTCATGGTGTAATGCATTTGTGTGTTTGGCATGGAATGACCCAACTCTTAAAATTGTTTGTGATTTCCTATTATGTTGAAATATGTGTAGTTTTCAACATAGTATCTAGCCATGAGCTAAGTACCAAAGCTGAAATTTGGTTTATAGGTAGATCCAATATATCTGATTAACTGGGGTAAATTTAAGAAAAGATTTTAACTTTCCACAAGACGATCCGTTGTTGAGAAACATTGGCGTTTTTCACTTTTATAGATCTGGTCCCAACTTTGAAAAGATACCAGTATATAGGAGCTATATTTTATCTAAATTGGTCCATCTTGCCAAATCCATCGAGAAACAAAGGTATCCTAAAATTAGTCACGGATCTCATGAAAATGACTCTACTAAAAGCACCAACCTGTAACTAGTACTAAAGTCGATTCGCCGCAAGTCGTCGGTCATGTTTCGGGTAACAGCAAAAACCACTAGCAATATAATCTGCATAAAATAATGATCGGACTTCGGTTAATTCGATTACTTAAAAAAAAAAAAAAAAATGTTTAGACACGCGTATTTTTAAAGTGTCCTTAGTTTATTATTCTGGTCTAGAATGATACTGACAATAACATATAACATACCAATGAAGCAACTCCCAAAGGGATAGTAAAGGCTAATGGAATCGAATCTTGGTTGCTCAGCCAACAACTGAAAGAAAATACAATTTTAGTAATTTGGATGTTTCATACAGGTTTTAAAAGATAAACTGTAAACCGTCTTGTGGTAGTGCTTAGATATAATATAATATATTATGATAAGATGTGGTATTTATATAGGCCCTGTCTCTTATACACATCTAGATGTGTATAAGAGACAGCTCCTCGACCCGTCGGACCACATGGATAGACTGCAGAAGGTCCCGGGATGTGGGAACTTTTTTCGAACTCGACAATTTCTCTTCTTTAACGTTTTAAATTTATGTAAATATATTATGACTTCTGTGTTTCAATTCGAGCACTGTTATTATTTATTTATTTATTTGTTTATTTGTGTGTATGTGTATGTGGGTGGGCGGGTGTGTGTGCAGGTATGTGCTTGCTTGTTTATGAATAAGAATAGCTTACAGTCCTCTGGCTTGCTTTGCATATCCAGTGTCTCTGGTCACAGCGAATGTGGTGGCACTGATCATCATAGGAATCCCTGAAGATTATTATAAAAAAAAAACAATATTATTTTAATAAATTTACTTATATATATTTATAGGATAATTCACATTTAGTGATGTAAATCTTTAGCCATGTAAAACCATTTACTTGATTACTTGATTGTAGAAAAGTAAGTTAGGTCACGTCATATTGCGGTATAGGCCTAATTGCAGAAACTACATCCTAGCGCAATGCGTTCCATAGTTGAGTGAGCGAACAGAAAATGCAAATTTACGGACGTTTGACTGAAGTGTTGCTTGCGAATTCTAATATATGTCCTCTCGTTCTTGATTCTCTATCCATCTCGAAAAAAAAGCATTCAATACACAAGTCCTCCGTTCACTTTAGGATTTTAAAGATTTGGATAAGATCTGGGCGTAATCTCCTGTAGGACAACGATGGTAGATTTAACTTTCTCAGTCGCTTTGAATATTCAAGATCATTTTGTGGCTCTTCTCTGGACTCGTTCAATAAGTCAAACATCTTTCTTGAATGAAGGACACCAAACAGAATTGCAGTATTTAAGTACTGGACGCAGTACTTAAATACTGGTAAAACAATAATTTCATTTTAAGATAAAGACATGTATTATCAGGTGGTAGGAATTTTCACTTGACGACAGCGTTAATGTAGGACGGATCTAAAATCGTCTATGAAATTCCTATTCGCATGCGCAGATTACTTCATCTTACCGTCCTGGTTTTTGCGTAATCGAATATTCAACATACAAGATACAAGTTAACTTTAATGTCGAAATTAAAATTCTGAGATATTTGTTGTATCTTACACTGTAAAATCATAAATATACATGTGATATAGTTAAATAAATATATAGTTAAATAAACATTCTTTATACAGTTAAATTATCTTCAGAAATTTGATTAAATAGATTATAAGCTATTTACAGTGTTGAGAATCTAAAACGGTTTGTGGACATTTGTTGTTTAAATGGTGTGGAGTTGAATATATTGGGTGGATGTTTGTTTTCCAATCTTAGGGTCTTGGGTTGAATTCTTGTCACGGTAACAGGATTTTCTCTTACGACGAAAACAAATCCACTCACTAAGCGTCATAATAAGATAAGTCTTATGAAGAGCATCGTGTGTGCATGTTTGTCTTGTGACGGATTGCCACTTGAAAAGTGATTCACTGTTCACTGTTTGTCATATCCTTGGCCCTAGTGCCTAAAGCTGAATAAACACTGCCCGATCAACAATGGCATAAAAATATGATTTAAAAAAAAAACTTACCCCAGCCAGAAACCAAATACAGACTGAATTTTTCTGAAAAGCAGTTGACTTGTCTACTGCCATTTTTTTCATTTCCGTCACTATCTTGAAACGCAAAGTATATATGAATAGCTCCAACAAGTAACCAGTTGATTACTGACAGGAATGTTGTATGTAAGTAGACTCCAACATACCCACATGCTGTCTGCAATAAACACATTGCAACATAGTTAAAGTCTGGTAAAAAATCTCTAGCAACAACAGAAAACGTTGGAACCGGCAATGAAAAACAGTACTGATAGTTATGCGCTTTGAGATTGTTTGCATAACATTCGTTATGTGATTTATTATTTACTCTAGCTTAAAGTCCTGTCCAGACTATCACATTATATTTTACAAAAAAACGTGACATGTCTAAATATGTTCACAATGACATCTTATCATGACCATATATAGCCACAACATGACTATATATGGACATACAACAGCTTTTTGTCAAAGTAAATTTGATAGTGCGGACAGACCGCAGATAGTTCAGTCGGCTAAACTGGTGGTAACCACTCGGTTGAATTCCCATCGCTGCACAGATATTCTTGTGTTTCAGCTGGAGGGCTGAAATGCAAGTTTCGAAAACGCACTGTCTTTTGGATGACCCATGTGTACGTTAAAGAAGGCAGCACACTCTTCAGAAAAGGACCCCACTGGAAATAGTTGGTAATCACACCAAATAAATAAATAGAAGAAGAAGAAGGCCTAATATACCTTGTTATCGTGCAGTATTCCAGAAACGATCAAGCCTATGCTGTTGAAAACAACAGCCAGGCAAAGATTCAAGTTGATGTTGTAAAAAACGGTCTTCAGGCGACTGCAATTGAACAGTTGCTATATTATTAAATCATATCATCATTATCATTATGAACAATAATTTGTATAACGTAATGCGCAAATGTGCATCAGAATAGGCAAGCAAGAAAATTGAACCACATGGTTCTAGACATCATGCTTATCATCATTATTATGATCATCATCATCGCTATCATCACCACTCTTACCATCATCATCATCATCATCATTATGATCATCATCAACATCATCATCACTGTCAGCTGTTAGTCAGTCCATTGTTGGACAAAAGCCTCACAATTTTGAAGCCATATCTCTTGCTATGTTTTAATTTTTCACTTTTACCAAATACCTGTCTATGGCTCTCCCACCCACACCTCATATGTTTCTTCCTAATTCCCCTATTATCCACAATTGTAACATTACCTTGTGCATAAATAATAGGCAATCAACACGGTCAATGGGATGATTGAAACTGCCGAACATATCCTGAGTATCCATGTAATTCTGACTTCATCATCATTGGAAATCTTAAATTATAAGTGAATAATTTTTTTAGAAATGCTCTCTGTATTGAGCTTTTTAATAGGGAACATTCAATTGCACAACAGTAAACTCATAAACGCAATGACGTCACATAAACTCATCTGCGCAGTTTACGTTGTCGTCTAGAAAGCAGTTTGGCCTACGGTACCTAATTCTGCAAAGAACGCAAGAAAGTCACGGATGAGTAAATCCGTTTTAGGGACACGTAGTCGCGCAAATTAAAAGCTCCTTAATATTAAAATACAGATATGAAAAATATGAAAAAATGGTCTCAATTTAGCGGGCCTTAGAATTAGAAGAGTTTTCGAATTGAAAGGCGGACTGTAGCTTACTTCTAAAAAGACAGACTTCCATCTGGACAAGGTCTACGCCCCTATTTCAACAACCTCAAGTTTCATGGTTTATTTTTTAAAATTCTAATAGGTCTAATGAATTTTTCCAATATGTTTCTATCGAAGCCTAAAAGGGTAAAAATTCCTAGTATAGTGTTGTATTATGGAGCTTCGCATTTCCGTCTGTAAAATAGAGCCTAGGCCTATATAAAACCGTTTTAACTGACCTTTTCAAAGTTTTGATCAACTTGATAACTTGACCAATCAGGCTTTGTTATTGTTAGAGCAAGTAATGTGCGCATGACCCTCAAACACGTATATTTACAAGCATTTAAGCTGGCATTTTATAGGACCTTAACATGCAATATCCAATGGGAATAGTCCGTTAAACAGAGTATAGACAACTCTATTATTATTAGTTTAAAAGTTTACCGTGCGCTTCGGCTCCATGAATATTGCGAACGAGGTGAGGTGATAGCAGTCACACGTTGTATAATTTTCGTTGCTCTCTTTGACGTCACACCCATCCTTGTCCCATGCCCCGTCACTGTTATTAACTCCAGGTATCCTACACATCATTATTTTATGGGAGTTAGCCAAATCAAAATTAAAATCAAAATAAAATTCATATGAAACTTTGCAACGGTGCCAGTTGTATTACGAGCACGTTACAACCACTAGTTTTAAATTTATTAACTACTCGTACATTATGTGGTTAAAAGCAAACACTGAAAATATAAGATATTATTTAAAAATTTGAAACCTTAAAGCGATAGACTTGTTAGTGTTTTGCAAGATGCTAAGTCGTATAGTAGGACGATTTATGTAGGACTATTCAATTGAATAAATAGTAGAAGAGAATAAGAAGGGAAGAAGGAGCGGTTTTATATGTAGTGACAAATAGAGTGAATTCGTTATAGGCTTTCAAGATTCAAGATGCAAGATTCTTTATTCCTTTCGGAAAATCAGTTGGTACATCACATCGTAAAAAAGTGCAGGACTAATACAAAACAGCATCAACAATATAATTATAATTATGCCACAATCCAGGGTGATAATAATGTGTTGTGAATGCGCTTACGTATCCGAGATCAACATTTTACCTCAAGTCGTAATTCCAAAAAGCACACACAGGTACGAATGTCGTTTGGTTGTTGATTTCCTGTGGGGACTAGATTCAATGTTAAAAGAAATTGAAAAAAGAAAAGAAGTATAAACACTTATTTGTATAGACAAAGTAAAATGCATGATAATGTTAAAAAATAGCCGTTCATGAAGAACCCGTGCTCATCAAATATAGGCCTAAATATATTTGTAAAAATTAGTTACCCTAAGATGCTCCATTACTAGCGTGAAAGGATGGTATAAGTTCATTCTCAGTGGTGGATTGACAGTAATCGACATGATTTTACTATTCAGTACAGATTTTTGCTCCTCTGTTTTGTAAAACCTGTAGAAGATAATTTTAAATAGAGATAGGTAAACACATATAGAAGTGGTTACTATTAAGGAATGCTTTTAAAACTAATTCACTAACAATATCAATGAATAATTCCAGGGCAGAGACTATCAAAAGAGGAAGAGAAGATGAATAAGAGAAACACATCTCATAAAAACGGGTTGTATAGTGAACATACAGTGCACATGACTACGTCGAGGGTCAAGTCATATAAACAATCAATCAGATAAGTCATGGATGTATATCTATATAAAGCGTTATTACGTTGATTTTACTGTATATAGAAACCGTGTAGTCAACCAGAATTTTCAATGAATGGGCCATTCCACTAAGTTCTGTCCCCTTTGATATTTTTCTGATCCACAAAACAACAGTGAAAACTTACTATACGTAAACACGTATTTGTGGGACACATCCCTGGGCTTATTTTTATTTTAGTTAGTTGTTAATTTTAATTGGCAGTCCAGAAAAGTCCATTGATGACCGATACAGATAATAAACAAGACTACCCAATATGTCTGTATTAGAAGCTTCACTTACTCGTCACTGGTCACGTTAGGAAACACATTTTCCAAAGACTGGTATAAAGTGAACACAATCGATGCGACTTGTCCTTAAAATGTAATAATAATTAGAGGGGTAAGTCCACAGTTACGTTATCATTTGAACTCCAATGAATTTTCCAACTACATCTATTTGCTAATTTACATTGAGGTATTGATCTGTTTGAACCTTGTCCATTCGATGACAGACGGTACCACCGCCACCACAATCATGAAAGTACACTTTTTTTGTCGTGCTTGGGTAGGAGATGGAGTAGAAAAATATAGTAAAACAGACGGGTTGCCTAATTGAGATTATAATCAATTTTGATGAAAAAGAAATGGATGTCCAACAAACGTTGTATTCTCAAACTCTATGTTTAATAAAAATTCAAACCTTGTCTTGTAAATGTGAAGAAATTTCTAGGTAGTTTGAAACTGTTAGTGTTTGTCTGCCAAAATTCGCTTGAGTTTGTGTCAGTTGATGAATTTGATGAATCTTCGTTGAAGAAAGGATAAACATAACCGTCGGTTTCAAACGATTCTATCGGAAATGATCGAATTTCCACCACTGGAATAAAATTTATGAACGTTTTATTGTTTTTAGATTACGCAAAGCAGTAAGTGAAATAACATTATATAGCTGATTATATTCCATTTTCCATAAAAAGAAACTACTGCAGTTATTTTTAAGTTTATCAAAGACTACTACCGCTTATCAACTTTAGATCTTACCAATTTCCGGTGAAGTAAGAAGCATGTAGTTATGTCCTTCGTCACCCCTAATATGTGTAGACATTTTCATTGTGTAATGGTCTAAATCTTGAATGAGACTCGATGAGCCTGGTTGGAGCTGAAGATAAAATATAATATTTTGACTAGAATCTTTTAATTATCACCGAAACCAACCATTTATAAAACAATTTGGAGAAAATTCCTTTTTAATGATATATAAAGTTAGATTACCAGTCGGTCTACATACCTTTTGCAAGGCGATCCACTCTGGTTCGTTTTGTTCCTCTAGAGTCTGGCTAACAATTGTTAGGTAGTCCTAAAAATTATTCAACAAACTTAAACATTGTGCATCCAAATATTATTTTAATTAATGCCTACAACACTTATTTGTATATACCTGTCTCTTATACACATCTAGATGTGTATAAGAGACAGGTAAAACCTGTAGAAGATAATTTTAAATAGAGATAGGTAAACACATATAGAAGTGGTTACTATTAAGGAATGCTTTTAAAACTAATTCACTAACAATATCAATGAATAATTCCAGGGCAGAGACTATCAAAAGAGGAAGAGAAGATGAATAAGAGAAACACATCTCATAAAAACGGGTTGTATAGTGAACATACAGTGCACATGCTACCCACCGATTGCTTCTGGATCTTCTCCGAGGAGAATGGAACTGGTATCCAGATCTTCGTCAGTGATGGAAGGAAAAGCAGTATTAGGAAGAAGGAAGAGCAATTCTAAGAGTGTGAAAATGTTGACCAAATCGGGATTCAAGTCTGGGACCATCTGTTGTCTATGTAGACGCCTTAAGAAACACTTGGCAACAGGGACTTCATTGTCCCTTAAAGACAGCATAGGTCTCAGGTTCGAATACCGGTTGTAGCAACTTGTCTTCATACTAGGTAATTCAGTAGTAAGTTTACGAGATTATTGTGGCATTCAATGTTGTACGAAATAAGACAAATATATTTACTCATTAACTGTCCGTCAATGAACAGAGCTATTCCATATTGCTCGCTCCATGAGAATCCTACATTACTCCACGTCTTCTCAACGAATGGGAATGATGTTGCTGCTTCCCATTGGAAGTTCTTTTTCTTAGCTATTGCTGTTATGGCCGTTCCGTTGTACCATACGGCAAATCCAGTCGATGTATTGTTCTGAGCCCCGGAACTTGAAAATACCAAAGAATAACATTATTGATTTATAACAAACCGTTAAAGGAAACTCATCAACTTAACTGAAGATTTGATGATGCATTTACTCCTGCGAATTACTACAGGTTAGGTATGATGATGGAGATGATGACAACGATGGAACTGGTGAGGATGATGGTGATGATGATGAAGATGATGGCAAGAATTATGATGAGGATGAAGATGATGATGGTGATGATGGTAAGGATGATCCTGAAGACGACGATGATGGTAATGCTGATGATGAAGATAATGATATTAATGATGATAATCATGAAGACAATTATGATGATAATGGTGATGAAGAAAACAACTTCAATTTCACCTGATAATGTAGCCACGCCCCTCGCTGTTTGTTTCTGAATTTGTAAATTTGTCAGTAGCAGGTAAAAACCACACAGACATCGTAACTCCAGCTGAGGAACACTGTTCAAGGGTGCTTAAACAGAGGTTATCATAATCACCTATAAAAGAATAATATACGCATTACTTTTGTATGCGCATACTCCAGTTTTTGTACGTCATTAATTACAATATGATTAATGATTTGGAAGACACCATAAAATAATAAGGATCGCCTGTTAACCACTAATTACCACCTAAAAAGTAATTCTCACGTAGATGAGACAGTTCAAGTTGTTAAATTAAAGAAAAACATTTGGGTTTGTGCTGAGGACGCTGTGCGATTCTGTAGCGACCCACTAACTGGTCTTGTTTCTTGCAGGCCTACTTACCCATGTCAATGTAGCTATATTGATTATGTTCTTGATCTGTTGTATAGTGCAACACATAGTCGAGCTGAGTCTCGTTCGAAGCCTCTTCCGTTTCAATGACGTAATATTCATCCGCAGTATCATATTTAACATTTTCTATGTAGTAAATAACATCATAATAATAATGACACTAGTGCAATTAAAGAACACTTTAATACATCCAAAGAAAAATAATATAGCGACATAGTTTACCGTCAGTTCCACTGAGACTCTCTACATCCGGCAGATCTTTGACGTCATGTGATAGGTACAGCTCAATATCATCGTATTCTGCTTTAACGTAACTTTCATTCAATCCGCTTACTTTGCCAAGAACCATCTCGCCATTGAATTCTTTAGATCGGCCAAAGGCTGAAAATGTTTCCTTTTAAAGGAAATGGTCATAATTGAAATAATTTTTGAGATCAATCAGATTTAAATTCGTCACAAAAAACCCCATTAATATGATCAGTAGTGTGGTGCATTTATGATAGCCTATACATAATGTGTTGTTATTTACCTGTGCGGAAATTGCCTTGCCATTAATTGAAATCGACAACCCATTTTCAGCAGCCCAAGTTAAACCGAAACGGAACCATTCATTATAAGTTGTGTTTTCAGCTGGGATATTCACCGTCCACACATGAGTGCCGTTTGCCACTTCAGCGAAATATGAGCCCGGACATTGCTGAATCCATACACCCTTGGCTTTTTAGATAATATACAATAAACAATCTCATAATTGCAAGATAAAGAAAGAAACTGCATTGCTCACTTTTTGTATACGCAAGTTATTCATTTTCAATTAGAATAATAAGTATTTTTCGCGCCAGAAAAGAGACGCACATTTTTATTTCTTTTATTAGATTCTTTAATTGAATGTTTATCAATCTTAACGATATCTGTATGTCTGAATTATTTTGTTCAATATTTCCTTAGTTAATAATTCATTAGTTAATAATTTTTAAGTGAGCTATTTAACGTTTTGTTTGAATGTAAAGAATTTAACAGATTTAATTACATTATATATGTTATTTGACATTCATTCACATTTTTTGCTTATACCAATTTGTTTCTTACTTGTGTTCTTTCCGCCAACACTCAGTACATGACCGATTTTGTTGGTGTCGACAAATTTAAGCCATAATGATAAAGCAAATCCGGAATTACATTGGCTGGGGTCCCCCGGACACGTGTCGAAATTTCCGAGAGACACCCAGCCCGTAACGCCATCTGTTGCAATTGCTCTCCCTTCTTCTGTTCTATCCATAACGTAGCGGGTACCGTTTGTACTAACAGTGTATGGATGTACAAGACTCAATGCGGATTCAAACAGCCAACAGTAAGTAGCTTCGGTGACACACGTGAACTGTGATTCTAGATAACAACAAAATTCCTTTTTAATTCAAACTTTAAAAGCGAAAATCTGTGTATTTTATGTTCCTAGTATACAATGGTAGTGTCAGTTTACATAATGAATAATGATTGTTTTAAAACAACCACCGGAATTGACCTTTCCGCTAAGCCCCGAACATTTAATATTGTTGCTAAGGTTCTACGAATGAACAGTATAAAAACATACGCAAACGTGCGTTTGTGAGACAATGTGTGTGTTTGTGAGACATGCACGAAATCCTGCCCTGTTCTGATTGGTCAATTGTTAAGTTTGATTGACACACCGGAAAGGTCTATTCTTGAGAAATAAATAAGACTATGTTAAATATTATCGCTTTATCTTTACATTATGACTGTAACTGTAGCCTAACTTCATTTGAAAAAAAAAATATTATCTAAAATCTACGTTTGACTATTAAATTTTATAAAATCTTTTCATATCTACACAAAATTTATACCGAATATAATCAAAATGTTACCATTCGTTGCTTACTTGTTACTCCGAGAAACTTAGCCGAATTTCTTGAATATGTGAATCGTTCCCAGAAGGCAAGATTAAATATATTTAGGACACCAGTTTGGCTGCCGATTGCGTCATACGGAGGTAAAGTATTATTTATGATCTCTTTAGAAGAATCTGCTAAGATCCCATTTATGTAAACATCAAGACTTTTCAACTCACTCCACGTCATTGCAAAGTTCGCCCACTCTCCTGAATTTAACCCACTCTAAACAAGTAGAGTTCAATCAATCCATGAATTATAATTTTCAAATCAAACATATTTATGGAATATTTTACCAATATATCAAAAAAATAAATTTGCTGTGATTTTAAATAATAATAATATTAAAAGAAACATGATATGTATGTTATTTGTAATGAAAAAAGAGCAAAACATACGGTATCCGTCCGTGCTTCTATTATATCATTTCCAGAAACTGTACAAACTAGCATATCATCTTCAAAGCTCATTTTAATTCCGCTTGACCTAAAATTAAATAAACCAATAATATATATA